GTACGCATATGAAGATGTTGGTCTTGCTCTTACACGATTACAGTGGAACAAGCCAGAGGGTACTACAATGGATCATTGGATGACTGAGTCGGATCTCGCCGTAGTTGCAACATTATTTAACTGGGCCATAATCCTCTACAGTCAAATAGACGAAACCAAAGATGGGGTGAGGAGACGTGTTCCATTTGGACAAACCTTTTTACCTATGATAGCCAAGCTAGGGGTAGCTCGCCCTAGCAATGTGTTGGTGTTGTGTAACACCGGCAACCATTGGGTGCGCCTTGATTTTGAGGAGGATTCAATACCAATGCCTCCATTCACCTTCCTGTGGACCCATTTCCGTGACAAAATGAGTACTCAAGGGTGGGAGCAATTGTTCAAGGACGAGCGAGATCTTTACTTCGCACTTGGGGGTCATCATGACTAGTAGGAGATATTTGTAGTAGTATTGGTATATTAGTAATTACATTCTCCTAGGGCTACAAATAAAAAAAAGTTAGGGCTATAAATAGCAGTTCAGATTTTGAATATGCAAATCCATATCCTCCCGTATAGGTGGAAGTTTCTTATATATCTCCATTCCCACAATTTTCGAAAATACCCTCTTTGCAAATCCAAACCACATTCAACTTAAAATGAATATGGTTAAGTGAAAGTCATAAAATTTAGAGCTAGAACATTTAACATGATTATGTATAAGATAAATGAACTGCAGATGTATGAGGAAAATATACAAAATTCAAAACTTTAGGAAAACTTGGGGCAAAAAGTACATGTATTGATGGAAGTGAAGGTTTTTATATTGTGTTAGTTTAATATTGGTTAAATGGCAAAGTTGGTCACTGGAAAAAAAAAATTTGGTCACTAAAATATTTAATTTCATTCGTGGTCACTAAGATTAGTTAAATATGTCAAGTTTGGTCACTTTCTGTTAACTTACGTTAGTCTCTGTTACATGGTCAGTTTTTTGCTGATCTGGCTACCAAAAGTGCATAATCAGCCAGATTTAACCCAAAATAAAATAAATGCGACCCGCCACATCATTTAAGCCCGCCACATCAGTTTCCCCAACCTGTAACCCAACCCATAACCAGCTATCGACCAATTCCACCACCCGTCGACAGCCACTCCCCACTCCGATAGCCTTTGGCTCTGAGCTCTCTAATGCCTCCGCCAATTCTCCAAAATCCTCTGCGCCCACGAGATCCACCTCGCCGAACTCGATGAATTGCCACTTCCGCCATCCGGGAGGCTGCCAACGGAACCCTGAAAACCCCTAAACCAACGATCAAACCTAGAAACAAAAAATCCCCAAATCCTTCCATCACCGCCAGATCTATAGGAGGTCAAATCTGAAAACTGTTCCCCAAATCCACAAAACCCCTCTTTTACCTTCTGTCTTAGTCCTAGGGGTGGGCATTCGGTTAAACCGAACCGAAATTATGAATACCGGGTCCCCGAATTATCCCAAACCTCAAACCGAATTCGAACCGAATTATAATTCGGTTCGGTTTTGCACACAAAACCGAATTTGAGAGGCTACTTGTATCTTCTCACTTTTAAATTATTTTTCACGAGGATCTATCTTTCACAAGATCACAGAAGTATTAAATTGAACAATATTCTATATCTCCCTTCTTTCTGTCTTATTCCGACTAATATTGTCTCCTTATTATGAATTCACGAATTTCGTATAGAGGTTCACATCCTGTCACCTTGATGTGAAAAAAGAACTACCAAGATTTCTCCTTAGGGCTCTTAGTAGGCTAACGCGACGACTTGCCCAGTAAGAGGATGTTTTTTAGTCTTTTTATGCGAAATCTTAGAAGCATGCGAAGGTGGAAGTGAGACGAGCAAGTACGTTGAGTCAGAATGCTAATTATAAGTCCATATACTATGCTTTGGAATCTCTTCTAGTCACATAGCTCGTCAGCGATGAAGCATTCTCCTCCAAAAGACTAGAAATACGATTAGCAATTGCTTTCGCGTATTTATTTAGGGCCTTCTAATTTGGTAATGAGTTTTTAGTCATATCATTCTTATTTCCTGTCCCCCACCTTTTTAGTACCAAAAGAAAACAGCTAAAACATCCCTTTCTGCAGCTCCTGGAACACCCGAATAATCTGGAGTTGCTCTCTTTCTCTTTGAAGTATTTAATTTCTGTGTAAGAGCCCAAAAGGGAATCAATCGTTAGCATTCCAATCCGTAAAGAATCTCTTTGTCTTATATTCTCTTTCTCGTATTCGAAGTAGTAGAGCGAGCTTATGTGCTTGAAGGGAATGGTCTTTCGCAAAAGAAGTGAGAATCTCCTTCCACCTTTGATTTGATGATAATCGTATCATTAATCCGTTTAGCACGTAATCTGTAGTCCGATCGTCTTACATATATATGTAGTCCAGCTCCCTAATAGAATGAAGGGCAGTTGGTAAGTAGAGCGTTGGCTAGGCGATTCCTTATATACGATAGCATCACGCCTTTCACCAAGCCGACCCTCAATGTGGATGAAGCCGCTTATTTTGCGTTGACTTCCGTCCGTAGAAAAGATTGAGTGAAAATGAGATATACCCTTTTCTTATATATGCAACCACCGGTGCCAGTTTGAGGGCTCAATCAAGGAAGGCAGACCTCGGAAGCAATACAAGATAAGGTTCGTCAGACTTTATCATTCCTCTGACCGAGGGAGTGGAGTCCTGGAGCGAACTACTCATTGTTGTCTTGCCCCAACTCCAGGAAGGGCATTTGGTGAGGAGCATTATTTTGAGGGAGGGAAAGCGTGGTTGACAAGCCACTTCGAGGAGGCGACTGGACTGGAGTGCTTTCATCAAATGATGCATGTGGGCTGAGCCATTCCCATCCCAAGTATCTTATGTGTTTTTAAATTAAAGATTTCTGTTAGTCTCTAATCTAAGCCATGGTCTGAAGTCTAGCCCTAATAATGTTGTCATGTGTCCCCCACTTTCTTTTTTCATTTCTGATGTCGAGTCGGCCCTTGAGGCCAAAGAGTCTGTAATCAAGTTGTGGTTTGCAATGAAATAAAAGATAGATTTGCTACATATAAGCGGGAGGATTTATTTAAGAATAATGATCCCACTCAAACAAATAGCGGACCTTTCTATACGAAATTCAAGCTCAAAGAGTAACCAGGAACAAGAATCTTCACTCTTTCGACTCACTTAGAATTATATAGATAATTATCTTTCATCGAGCACTTCTTATTCTTTCCTTACTTTCGTCCCTCAGTTTGGTTGCCAGTTCTTAGTGACAGACAGGCTTGAATAGACTTTTTTACAAAAGTAAAAAGAAGTAAAGAACAATTCCGGTAGGTTTTTAAGCTAAGGATAGCGATGGAATTCCGATCGAAGATATGAGTGCTTCTAAGGATTATGTTGAAATGATTAGGTGAATCTCCTGGGGTCTGATTACTCGAAAGGTTATGAAGCAATTGTAGATCCATAGCATAAGTTATGCAACAGATTCGGGACCCGATTCGCGGTCTCGAAGACCGGAAGAGGGCGTCACCCTAATATAAACAATAAATATGAAATTATATCCATAATCAACAATAAAATCAAACTTTTCAACACATAAGTCATAAGATATTTAAATTATTTAAGTATAAAAACAACTACAAACATTAAAATCCACCATTTGGAGCTTGCAATTATAGTATTTCGGTTTTTCAGTCGGAATTTCAGAATTTCGGTTCGGTCGAAAGAACCCTGATTTCCGAAATATCCATATTTTCCTTTCGAATTCCGAACCGAATAGCATTATTTCGGTTTTGGTTCGGTTTAGTTCGGTTCGGATTTACCGAACCGGTTGCCCACCCCTGCTCTGTCCTCTCAGTCTGTGACTCTAGCAGAACCTCCGTCCTTGGTCTGAATTTAACCATCCAGAGCCGACGATGTCGCCGCTGAGAACACACACTGTTCAGCGTCTGCGACCCAGATGCAGTTTCTCGCCTGCCGAGCACCAACTAGAACCGCTGTTTTCGTCACCACGAATCCTGAAGCAGCAACAACGACGACGCGATAAAGAGGGTGTTCTCTTATGTGACAAAGAAGTGAACTGTGAAAGCTAGTGGTAGAGAATGCACCGCCGCTAGAGGCAGATCAACTAAATTCGAGATTGGGGAAGGAGGGATCGATTGCGGTTTGTATTCAGTCCATGCTTTCTGGCGCCGTGGGCAAGATGAAGAGAGATGGTTCTGCTGGCGGGGGTGGAGAGTTTCCTGTTTGGCTAGCCATCTCGATGAGCAAAAGAGGAGGGGTGGAGAGAGAATAGTATATATTGCTCAAGTTCGAGCGGGGGCAAGAAGGTTTGGTTCACGGTGTGAGTATTATGTAGTGGGTCGTTTTTTTTTTTTTTTGTTAAATCTGGCTGATTAGGCACTTCTGTTAGTCACGACAACAGAAAATTGACGGTGTTAATGGAGACTAATGAAAGTTAACGGAGAGTGACTAAATTTGGCATATTTAACTAATTTTTAGCGGAAGATGAAAGCGGAAGGTGCATTATGCATGATGGGTTCATCGCTAGAATTAATCACGACTCACGAGTGACAAAGGACTAATCACATCTTGAACCAAGCGACGGGAAATCGAATTAACAAACTGAAATTGAAGCCACGAATCAACAAATCGGAATATAATCCAGGGCAGATTGATTGATTACCGGGAAAGTGCTTGCCGACGATGTGCAAAATGCGATCGCCCGGACCGGTCGGACCCCTGTGGCCTGTAGGGAGAAGAACTGAAGGAATCCTTCTCCGAGTCACCCATCCAAATGCCAATGCAACGGAGGAATTCTTCACATAGTGTACAAAAATCCAACCGTATTGTACGCGGAATTCTTCTCCGAATCAAGTTCGGAAACTGCCATATTCAGGCCTTAATTCGCTCCAAATCTTCTCTATAAAAACGGGACCTCCCACCTCCGATCGCTCACCAACAGAATCCACACCAAAAAACCTGAACAAAACAATTCTAGCTCCAGCAGCCATGGCGATCCTCGAAGAAACGCAGCCTGAGAAAACCCAGAATTCTGCTCCTCCAAGCAATCTCCCGCAAGAGAAGAAGAATCAGGCGGCGGAGGAGAAACCCACTGCCCTGCTTCCAAACTCTGGCAATGGGCTCGATTTGGACAAGTATTCGTGGGGGCAGAGCCTCCAAGAGGTAGCGATCACCGTTCCAGTCCCTCCCGGGACGAAATCGAGGCAGATATCGTGCGAGATCAAGAAGACGTCTCTGAAGCTAGGGCTCAAGGGCGCAGGTGATCAGCAGCCGATGATTATCGATGGCGAACTCTTCGGTCCGGTGAAAGTGGGCGAATCTTTCTGGCAATTGGAGGACCAGAAGACCATCTCCGTCCTACTGACGAAATCGGACGAGATGAATTGGTGGAGGTCGCTGGTGAAGGGAGGGCCGGAGATTGACACGCAGAAGGTGGAGCCGGAGCCCAGCAAGCTGAGCGATCTGGATCCGGAGATGAGATCGACGGTGGAGAAGATGATGTTCGACCAGCGCCAGAAGCAGATGGGTCTCCCCACCAGCGACCAAATTCAGCAGCAGGACTTGCTCAAGAAATTCGATTTCTCCAAGATGAAGATGGTCGACAAATTCAGCAACCTACCCTAAGATTTGCTTATATGTAATAATGGTTTTCTGACAGTTCAGTTTATGAGTGAATAAACCTGTGCTTATTATGACTCCATGTTTGTCCTGTTTATATCCAACAATCGCAGATCCTGCTTTACATCATACATGATGCTCCAAAATTGCTATTCACTCTCCAACTGAAAAATAACAAAATCTATTGTCTATCTAGCTATGTCGCAAGTCTACTTCTTAATCCCATCACTAGGTGAAAGCTGAATCTCTTCAAAAGCAGCAGCAGCAGATGTCTCACCTGCAGCTGCACTATTCTCAGGTCTATCATGGCCAGGTGGAGTTGCTGCTCCTTTGGAGCACACTTCATGGGGCGACAGCAGCCCTTTCAGCTTGCTTAGCTTGGAATTAGGAGGAGTACTTCCTCCTTCGTCGGCAGGTGCTTGATCTTCCATTGCCTGCTTCTCTTTCTTTCTCTTCACCCTGGCAGCCCAATCGACGAGGCTAGCCTGTATATGCTCGTCGAATATCGCCTTCTTGAACGTTGTCCCCATCTTCATTTTGTCGCAACAACAAAGAAAAGAAGAGTGAGATTATGATTCGGAATTGGCATTCGATTAGACTAAATAAGAGGCGCTTCTTTTTGTAGAGTAGAACCTGTGTGACAATGGCATATAGTGGCAGGGTGCTGTAACTGCAGAGAACTTGGATGAATATCCTAAATTGGGTAGAAAAGGTGAATGAAATTTGTCGATGTTGTCATATGTAATTGGAATTTGGAAGTTGGTTTTAAGGAGAAAAGAGGGTTCATAGAAATGTACCCTATTAGTACCCTTGGGACAATGTATCTAACTTGCCCCATGATGCAGGAGTTGAAGCCATATTGAATCTGTCCGCAAATGTACAGATGTTAAATGTGACTAAAAAATGGTTAATATAGAGGAAACTTAAAAGCCAGGAGAAAAGAGGCATTACCCATATCCAGAAGAAGAAGGCGATCTCGAAAGAGTTCTGAAACAAGATGAAGTGAATCAAGTAGAGGACTATATCCGGCTTGTTGAACCAGAAGTGGTGGTCTGATGGTTGAACGACCAAGGCGCCTTCAATGGCTATGTGCTTCTCGGCAACCTCATGAGCCAACTGGGAGATGACATGCTCCAATTTGGTCCCCAAGGCGAGTAAAAGCTGCAAACTGGTTGTCAAGTATCACTTGAAACAGGGAAGAATTTTTTTTGCATTTTGAAGATGGTAAGTGATTTGTTAACCACTCTACAATTGGGTTTCAGATTCAACAGACAGAAGGCCAGTTTGAGAAATTACCAACTGAAGCAAATAGTACTTAGTTCAGACATGGCATTAGATGTTGAGTATACTCACAATGAAAGGAATGAATGCTATCCAGAAGTATGCATGCCACCCTGGAATGAAGTCAAATGACAAACATAGAACACTTACAGAGTTATGTTCCACTAGAGTACCAGCAAGCAAACATAAACAATATCATAAGAACATTCAAGCAAGAAATGTTCACTAGCCGATGAGCTGGTGTGAATCGTACCATTGACATTAAGCAACAAGAAGAACACCACAAAGATCCAGAGATACCAGCTGCAAACAAAAGAAGTTTGGTACACCAAAGAACACAAAACATGTTAATTAAGAACAATATAAGTTCATGTAGCGTACAAAGCAAGGCAATAAGAATGCTCAAATCTTGATCATATATGGGTACCCTTAGATCACCTGCCTTATTCCAACAACTCTCTTGAAGTCATCTTCAAGTGCACGCATCATATACCGGTGAAAATTAAACTTAGGGTTCCCTCTGCAGTGCGTCTGAATTCATCCGCAGACAACAAGAAATAAGAGAAATGGAGGGAAACCAACAAGCCCCAATTCGAGGTTTCTGGAAATCGAAAGACGTAATGTTATACCATGATGAAACCCAGCCGTAAAGTTAGGTAGTCGGTCCTGGTAACAGATGCATAGAATTGCTTCAGAAAGGCATGCTGCATCATGGAAAGGCACAGAATGTATTCAATAACTAGCTTGTCAAGATAACTCGAGTTGTTTAGAGAGATCCAAATAGTATCGTCAACTTACCACCCAGGTCAATGCTTCCGAATCTTTACCGATGCCCAAGAAGTTGTCTCTGATAAAGGAATGTTCTCGTACATGGGTGAACTTCTTTTGCAGTGCTGCACTACCACATTTCACCCCGTTAGAGATTATCTCCATTATTACAAGTACATGGATGAATAACATTTTCATAATAATATGTCTTACCTTGTTCTGCATCGTAATGGTCTTTCTCGATCTTGATTTCCCATTGATGCCACTGACGAATCTAGCCCATGATAGAGGTAAAAATGAAAAACCCATGATTTCCCTCCGAAAAAGTATGTGGTAAATTAATTTTTCTGAGAAAAAAGAAATGGTTGATTAAATTAGGTGCTTACCCTTGCCCCTCCAAACATGACAGTGAGAGCGCAGAAAGTGACATGAACAATTGCTAGCACGAAGATGAAGATATGCAGATGATGTATGGCCTCTAGTGATAACATTGGCACCTTCCCCTGGAAACCATCCAGACAACGAAATTAATGGTCAGGAATCAGATGTTCCTATTCTTTGCAATGTCAGTACTTCCTCTCAACGAATTACCTTTCTAGCACAGTATCCAGTTTTGGAGACAGACTCGGATTCTGCTGCTTCAGCTAGAAGTCGTCGGGCGAGTCCCCTGACCATAGCCTTGGTTGGAAAGGCCTCCATCTTTGAGTGCTCTGCTGTTTCACCATGATGTGGTGGTAATCTTCCACCTTGTTGCTCCAGATCGAGGGGGCAAGGAAGCATTGTGGTTAACAAATCCTCCTTAACGCAGAACCGAACCACCAAGTTCTGAGACACCGTCAGCAGCAGCGATATGAAACCCATCAGCATCAGCTCTGCCCCGGCCCAGCAACCAAACCAGAAAAAAGGGAACGTATAAGTTACTGCATGAACAAAGATAAATTGACTTGACAGAGAAGATACATTTAACTTGCTAGTTGAATGTTGGTTCGGAAATTCCATTGTTGTTATTGCCTACATTTACCTTCTTTCACTTTTTGAAGGGCTTCGTGGAGAGGCTTCTGTTTCTTGCGCTTGAAGTATGTGCCGGTGAAATGGAGAAGCCGTTCCACTCCGAGAGATACCCCGACGATGACGCTGCAGATTCCGGCCACGATCCATGTCGGAGTGAACTCCAAATTCACTCCTTCTTCATACCCCTCTTCCCCCATATGTTCTTGATTTTTTCTTTTTTCTTGTGGTGTTTTTTTTTTTTTGTTTAAGAAACTGAAAGGCGGTATGTTTACTTATTCTTCTTTATGGAAAGAAACGATTTTTTAACAACAGAACTTGGTTGGATGATTGAGTTGAAGATCATGATGATTCTAATGGCGGAAGTTGGTCGCTGAAACATACTTCTTCATTGAGTCGTGTGTGTGGTTTGTGTTGCTTGGGTATGTGTCTTCTTTGTTTTGTTGTTTGAGCTTAAGTACCTCGGGAGCGTTGGTTAACGATGGAGATAGAAGTGGAAATGTAGTTAACTAATGGTAATTAGGGATTCTTTCCCTATATGGTATTTACTTAATTTGAACGAGTTCAACGTTATTTGTCTGCTCTTCTAATCTAAAAAGTTCGAAGCTAAATTTTCTCTCTTTCTCTCTTTTTCCAGTTTTAAATTTAGTCGCTAACATTTCTTCTGCACCCCATTGTTTCACGCCTTTTCGATCTCCTTCTTTCTTCCGAAATAAATTGTATAGGTAGAAAGCCTTTAGCCTTTTGGGTCCCAAGCCCTATTGCAACCGTCGCGGATAGAGAAGTCCAAAGGATGAAAAGGAAAACAATTCCCGATTGGGCCCCAAATCTTATGAGTGTTGAATGCTCTCATAACCATTTTAATCGGTAGTATTTAGATAATTTGGTTTGGTTAATTTAAATAATTAATTTTGTTTGGTTTGGTTAAATTTTTTAGCTTGTTTGGTGTAGATAGTTTGATTTGGTTTCAGATACTCTTAACCAATTAAACCAAATTAACCAGTTAAGTAATTAGACATATATCTAAATAAAAAAAATAATCAGTTAAGTAATTAACCACTCAAGAGTCAAATGTTTATCCTTCTTAGACTCATAAAAATAAAGCTCAATATTGTTCTTATTCCGTATATTTGTATTTGTAGAGTGACCACAACATATAGACGTCTAATTTAGATGAAAACTTATACATTATGTAGGATGAAAACTTGAAAGAAAGGTCTTTTTCAGCCTATGATAATTGCTAAGAGACTAAGTCAATTCACACAAACACAAAAATTCATTAAACCCATACCATTAACATATTTTTTGTTAGGTGAATAGTTCTATTGACGGTAAGATTATTATATTAGTTGCATATATTTATGTTTTATTCATTAGGACAAATACCACTACAACAACCGAACTATTCAAAAAATGACACTTGTATCTTATTTTATTGAATATTCAATTTCTATCCTGAACTATATGAGTTTGTGACATTTTTGTTATGGCGTCTGATTATATCAATGAAGCCCTCTTAAACCAGATTATATCTATCAAAGGTTAGAGCAGAAATCAAGAGAATTTGATCAGGATTCAATTGACTCAATAAATCATGTCTCAATCTATTATAATTTATAATCAAACAGTATAGTATCCAAAGGTTCAAACAAGAAAGATCCTAACACATGGAATTAGAGTTTCTCAAAATCTAAGTGAAGGGAAGTTACTCAATTGGGAAGAGAGATAATGCATAGATCTGATCTAGATATTCAATCTCCATCTCCAAGCTCAATTGACGAGCTTCAATGGTGAAGAAATCCTCCAAAATAGCTCCAAGAATATTCTCAAACCGCTCTCTCTCAAGGGTTCGTCCCTTCGGTGTTTGGGATCCAAAATCCAGCTACATCCCTCCAAAATGCATAAAACGAGCTGTTAGAATATGACTTGAATTTGATTTGGGTTTTCTTCATTTGTTTTGTGTTTTGGGCCTATTTTGTTTGGGTTTGTGTTTTGACTTTGTTTTGGCTTTTTCCTTGTAGGCTTGGAAAAGGTGTTTGGTTTTCTGTTTGGGATTATGAGAAGAGTTCTATCGATACTCTTCACCACCCTAATCTGTAGTAAGGTCGGTCAGGTTAGTTTGTTTGGTTTGTCCATTCCGGAATCTGGCTTGTAACCTGTACTCTTCTCAAATTAGTGAAATTGTTCTCTTCTGCCCATGGATTAGCTAGCACACATTGTGTTAGTGAACCACGTTAAATCTGTGTTCGTTCGTTTTGATATGAATTATCAATCGCACGCTTATGTTCAGACAAGTGGCATCAGAATCTGGTTGTCGATGTAATTCATGGGAATTTGGGCAAGAATCCTTGTGGCGACTGCTGCGGAATCGGGATAATCTTCAATTTGGATTTGCGGAGAAATCCCTTCAGGTTTTCTCCAATTTGGTTTCAGTTTTGGATAGAAAGGTCGGTCAGGCGCTTTTGGGGAATTATGTTTTTGGATTTATTAGGCGAAAGCTAAATTGGAGTTTTACGTGGATATTGGGAAATATTTTGTCCACCTAGTTTCTTTGTCCTACGTGGATTGTTTTGAAATTTCAATTTCGATTTTATTTGGTGTTTTTGGTTTAAAGTTTGGCTCCAACAACAATTGTGAACGGAGCAGCCGAACCGAATTTGTTCGCTACTGGAATTTGGGAGCCCATTGTCTGAATTGAAATTACTTTTAGTTGCTGAATTTGCTTGGTGTGGTATCTGAAATTTGGGAATCCTTTCTCAATTCGGAATTGTTTATTTGGGCTTCGTAATTCTGGTTCAGTGATGGTTTGTAGCATGAAGAGAATTCTATTTGTTATCCTTGATGGTGATTGGGTCTTCGATAAGCAATGATGTTTGTTATGAATTTGAAGATCGAGAAGTCAATTTGGAGCTGCAGGTTTGGAGTTGGAGGTAAATTTGATATTGGTGTTATGGACGGAAATAACACCAACCTGGTTCTGCATGGCAAGTCCCAACATGAGTAGGACTTGTTGCATGTTTTGATTTGTTAACCGCCCTTAGGGGCATTTGGAGGTAGGGGAGATTCTGTTACATTTGCATATTTGGAGAGTTTGGTACTTTTGGCAGTTTTTATTGCATTTGAGTTTGGCGATTTCCATCGCGTTTGAGTCTGGCGATATGAATCACATTTGGATATGTCTAGCAGTTTTTATTGCATCTGAGTTTGGCGATTTGCATGGCGTTTGAGTTTGGCGGTTTCGATCGCATCTGGCTATGTTTTGGCGATATGTATCGCGTCTGGGTACATCTGGCAATTTTGGTTGCATCTGGTATTTGGGAGAGAATTCAAGTCAAGGTGGAGATTATTAGAATATGACATGAATTTGATTTGGGCTGTGTTCATTTGTTTTGTGTTTTGGGCCTATTTTTTTGGGTTTGTGTTTTGGCTTTTTCCTTGTAGGTTTGGAAAATGTGTTTGGTTTTCTGTTTGGGATTATGAGAAGAGTTCTATAAATACTCTTCACCACCCTAAATTGTAGTAAGGTCAGTCAAGTTAGTTTGTTTGGTTTGTCCCTTCCGGAATCTAGTTGGTAACATGTACTCTCCTCAAATTAGTGAAATTGTTCTCCTCTGCCCGTGGATTGGCTAGCACACATTGTGTTAGTGAACCACGTTAAATTTGTGTTCGTTCGTTTTGATCTGGATTATCAATCGCACGCTTCTGTTCAGACAAGAACTTGTCGAAATCGGGGAGCTCAATTAGTACAATATTGTCTGCTTTGGGCCAAGCCCGTACAGTTTTACTCTTGTGTGTCCTCCCCAAAAGGCTTTGTACTAATTGGGCTAGGTGGACACTTATATACAAGGGTCCCTTCCCTCCCTTGTATTACCGATGTGGTACTTGGATTGTCCCATAACAATCCTCCTCTCAAGACAAGGACCACGAACTTCGTGTCCCATAACTCTCTTTGATCTGCTTTCCAAATGTGGAACTCTCTTTGATCCGCTAAGCCCAAACGTGGATCTCTCATGGATCCACCAAACAGACGCAGATCTCAAATGCTGAGGTCACTGAATGAGGATCCCACCAAACTGACTTCCATCGCCCCGGGCCTTTATACTCACTACCTACACGTTCCACGGTCGTGGAATAGGTTTACCAAACCGTGGATTTCTCCTGCTCAAAATTCACGATCTGAATTCCTAATCCACGGTCGTGGAATTGGCTTCTAACCCGTGGAAATCATTTCTCTTGTTCTCCTGTCTTGAATATCTCGTTTCTCCCTCACCCGAACTCCGAATTAGTCGTCGTTTGATCTCAGACGCTTGTAGTCTTGTCCGCATTCTCATTATGATAAGCTTACTTGATTCTTTGTTCATAAAATGAGGTGTAAATATATTCTTCCTCAGGTCATGCTTGAGTTTCTTCCCCCGAGTCGCCAATTGATCTCCCATTCACTTGAAACTTACGCCAATCAATGAAAGTGGTGGACTGCTTGGGGGAAGAGGTAGACCACTTGATGGAAGTGGTAGACCATTTTTTTGTATAATGGACGACCTTTTAGTGAAAGAGGTCAACCGTTTGTTGAACATAGCAAAATGGAAAATAGTACATCTGGTCTACCATTCCATCAATGAGGTCGACCATTTTGTCCAAATAGGCAGACCATATCAGTGAAGGGGTTGACCGTTTTGTCCAAATAGGTCGACCATACCAGTGAAAAGGTCGATCATTTTGTCCAAGTCACAATGACTTACAAGTCACCTCAGCAAATTCCTAAGTTATTTGATTGTTATATTTCATAGCATAAAGGAAAGAAAAAATTTCTACCAAAAAAAAAGGAAAGAAAAATTGTTAGCAAAATGAGTTATTTCAAATAACTAGTCTGAATGTTATTTCTATAAAATCATTTTGAGTAATTTCAAGTAACTCATAACTCAATTACCATTTACCGCATTTTATGTTTTGATTGACAATCAAGTTATTTGGGTATATTGGTCATTGAGATAACAAAATACTTTCATATTTGGTCAATAGAAATATTTAATTCTATTTATGGTCACTAACTTTCTACTCTCGTTTCATCAATGGTCACTCTCCGTCCATTCTCGTTAATTTTAGCTTACATGACAGTCAACTATCATAGTTGATCGTTATATATGTGACGTGGAAATAAAAAAATTGATACTTTAAAATTTCCACATCATTCTTGCAACTGTTAAAAAAAGAAAAGAAATTAAATAATAAATACATAAAATTAAAACAAATTGAAAAACAAAAAAATGTTTCTAGGTCTTCACGATTCTAACCTTTTCCCGATCTACTTTTGCTCTAACCCTCATGAGAATTCCCAATTCTAATTCCTAGCTCCGGTCCTCCAATTCGTCACCACCATCGTTGTGGCCCTTTCCCCCATTTGTGAAAATCCGAACCCCCACCCTTTGTAGTGAAGCTTCCATCA